GCGATGGGTGCCCCGCGTTTGGGTGGGGGAGCTGGGTGCCCCGTGTTTAGGTGACAGGTGCCCTGTATTTGGGCGATGGGTGCCCCGTGCTTGCGCGGGGGTGATGGGTGCTCATGTTTGGGTGATGAGTGAGCCGTGTCTGGGGGGGGGGGATGGGAACCCCATGTTTGGGTGATGGGTGCCCCCTGTTTGGGTCACCCATGTTAGGGTGCTCTGTGTTGGGTGACGGGTGAGCTGTGGGGTGGGGTGTGGGGGCAGCTGGTGTCCCCGTGGGCCAGGCACGGAGCGGGGCAGGGCCCCCCCGCCAGCCGGTGCTGCTGGGACAAGGGACCCATTCAGGCGGCTGCGTGCGCTGCGGCTGCTTTCGGCTGCTCCAGGCCCTGCGGCGGGCGACTCGGGTCTGGCACCGCGCTGCACGCGCAGCTGGCACGGCCCCCTCGCCTCCCACCCTCCCAGCGCCTTTGTCCCCCCACGGTCCCCTCTGAAACGGGGGCACAGAGCCGGACGCAGTGGGGACGGTGCCATCCTGGAGCAGGGATGGAGCCCGAGGATTAAACACCGTGGCCTCGTGCTCAGAAATGCGACGTCTAATTCCTTGCTTGAAATTGGTTGCAAACGATGCCAGGCTGGAGCGGGCACGGCCCGGCAAGCTGGAGGCTGGGGAGAGCCCGCCGGACCCTGCGGAAAGCTTGGTGCTGGGTGCCCCCAGAGCCGGCTGCCTTCAGTGGTGCCGGTGGGGAGGGCAGGGGATGCTGGGCCTGGCCAAGAGGCGTGTTGGGGACAAAAGCTGCCCAACTGCTTGAGCCGGCTCTGAGCTTCCAAGCCCCAAGAGCTGGGGGTGAAAAAGGGCAACCGAGGTGGGAGGCAGCTACGGGGATCTCTCGCGGGACCTGGTTTGGCCTCACTCTCCTCGTGGGGGGTCATGGCTGTGCCAGGGGCTGGGGCAGGGCAGAGGGTCCCCGCACGGATCCCGTAGCCCCAAGAGCTCTCCAGCAGCATGGCATTTGCTAACGCACGTCAGAGCCGTGGCACTGGGTGGTTCAAGCTCCAGCAGCACCTAAAAGGAGGAAATTTGGGTTGGTTTTCCCTGGCAAAGCAAAGCTCTGACAGAAACCTCCCAGGGCAGGGCGGGAGGGAGCCAGGATGGCATTCGCTGGCTCCAGGCTGTGCCAGGGGGGTTCAGCAGCTCAGCAGTCCCTGAGCAAACCCCGGTCCAGCTCCGTGATGCCCCGTCGGCCTCGGCTGTGCCGGCACCCAGGCAGAGCTGGGTTTTCCAGTGTCCTGGTTTCGGCCGGGATAGAGTTAATTTCCTTTCTAGTAGCTGGTACAGTGTTTTGGATTTAGGATGAGAACAAAGTTGATAACGCACTGATGTTTTAGTTGTTGCTAGGTAATGCTTACACTAGCCAAGGACTTTTCAGCTTCCCATGCTCTACCGACTG